TTATCAAGAAAACATGAAATTATGATGTGGAGAATTTTGATAGTTAATATGTAACAAGTCTGAGTAAAGATTATGATGTTGTACCTACCTTCAATCACCTCAAGTCTGTTGTAAATTTTTAAGAAACAGAGACTTGCAGACACGTCTAAAACCAACACAAAACAATACATGTATAATAATATTATAGACAAACATTTTTTCTTTTTGTATTGTTATTGACAAACATTTTTTTTTGTTAAATATTATTATTGACAAACACAAGATGGCCATGTCTCATCGAGTTCTTTGTATCTCTTCAAAGAACTTAGGGGCTCGTTGAGGCATGGCTCATATGGTTAGAGCAGAAGAGACAGAGTTACCGAGAATGGAGCTTGCAGAGATTGGAAAAAGCATGGGACCATCATTCCGGCGTCACAGGAGCAGCTCTTCAAGAAATGAGTCAGAGGATGAGGCAGAGTATGCTCTTCAATGGGGTGAGATCCAAAGATTACCCACTTTTAAACGGCTAAGATCGTCTCTGGTCGACGAAGAAGGCGAGAAAGATGTTGAGGAGAAAGGGAAAAAAGTCGTGGATGTCACCAAGCTTGGAGCTATGGAACGTCACCTGATGATTGAGAAGTTGATCAAACACATTGAGAATGATAATCTTAAGCTGCTCAAGAAAATCAGAAGAAGAATGGACAGGTGAAATACGAGAAAAATAAGGAAAAGTAACCTTGTGAATCTGTTTCTTGAAAGTTTGAAACTTGAATAAACCTTGCAGGGTTGGTGTGGAGTTTCCAAGCATAGAGGTGAGGTATGAGCATTTAGGTGTGGAAGCAGAGTGCGAGGTCGTTGAAGGGAAGGCACTTCCAACTCTATGGAACTCCTTGAAGCGCGTTTTCTTGGTAAGTATACTCAAGATTGCAAGTTAGGAAAAAAAAAAGATTGCAAGTTAGCAGTAGTTGGAGTTAATTTTCCTCTCTTTTTCTTCTTCAGGAATTGGTGAAGCTAGGTGGTGTAAGAACACGCGAAGCCAAGATAAACATACTTAACGATGTTAGCGGCATGATTAAGCCGGGAAGGTTAGTCGTAGTAGCAGTGGCTCTCTTTTGATATAAGGTTTAAGATTTGTTGTAACTAATGTCTATACTTGTTGGTCAAAGGTTAACACTGTTGCTTGGTCCTCCTGGATGTGGAAAAACTACTCTGCTTAAGGCTTTGTCTGGAAATTTGGACAAAAATCTAAAGGTTTCAGATTTTTGTCTCAAGTCTATTTCAGATGCTTTAGTTATGCAGATGTATGAATCATGTCTCCTTTATTTTTCCAACAGTGTTCTGGTGAAATCTCCTACAATGGACATGGAATGGACGAGTTTGTTCCTCAGAAAACATCGGCGTTTATAAGTCAACACGATCTGCACATTGCAGAGATGACAGTGAGGGAGACAATTGACTTCTCAGCTCGTTGTCAAGGCGTTGGTAGCCGAACAGGTAGATTTATTCGTAAAGCTACGGTCTTTCTGAAGCATTATATATCTTAAACGGTTTTCGTGATGAAACAGATATTATGATGGAGGTCAGTAAAAGAGAAAAGGATGGTGGAATCATTCCCGACTCCGAAGTAGATGCTTACATGAAGGTGCGCACTCCTGAAGCTTTATGTTGAAACCGATCTTTTAAACTTTGCGGTTGATTATAACCTTTCCATTGTGCAGGCGATATCGGTCAAAGGACTTAAAAGAAGTCTGCAAACAGATTACATCTTGAAGGTAGCAGTTTCTCAGATACAATAATGATTCTTTGCCCTTCTTGATTAGCTTCTTAACTATGTCTTATACTGATTTTTCAGATCCTCGGGCTTGACATTTGTGCGGAAACTTTGATTGGTAATGCGATGAGAAGAGGCATATCCGGGGGTCAAAAGAAACGGCTTACCACAGGTTGGTTCATTGCTACGAGTCCTGCCAAAACGGTAATCTTTTTGCTGGCATATTTTCTTAAAAACCGGTTTTTGCAGCCGAGATGATCGTTGGTCCAACAAAAGCTCTGTTCATGGATGAAATAACAAACGGCTTAGACAGTTCCACGGCGTTTCAAATTGTCAAGTCTCTTCAGCAGCTGGCTCACATTACCAACGCAACAGTGTTAGTTTCCCTTCTCCAACCTGCTCCAGAATCATATGACCTCTTCGACGATATTGTCCTGCTGGCCGAAGGGAAAATTGTGTATCACGGTCCACGCGACGAGGTCTTGAAATTCTTCAAGGAATGTGGATTTCGATGCCCAGAAAGGAAAGGTGTTGCAGACTTTCTCCAGGAGGTAAAAAGCCAAAGTTGTGTTCCCTGACACTGAACTTTTTGATCCCATGGTCCTGAGTTGGTTTTTGCTTTGCAGGTTATATCTAGAAAGGACCAAGGACAGTATTGGCTGCACCAGGACTTACCCCATAGCTTTGTGTCAGTAGAAATGTTTTCGAAAAGATTCAAGGACTTAGAGATTGGGAGAAAGATTGAGGAAGCCCTCACTAAGCCATATGATAGATCAAACTCCAACAACGATGCTCTTTCTTTCAAAGAGTATTCTCTTCCACACTGGGAGCTATTCAAAGCATGCATCTCAAGAGAGTTTCTTCTCATGGAGAGAAACTCTTTCATTTACCTCTTCAAGACGTTTCAGGTACAACATTCTTCCTTTCTGCAGATAGCTCTCTCTTATTTGTCTTCTTTCAAGATTCTAGTGTTAATCCTGAAGAATCCTTCTTACTTTTACACTGCGCAGCTGGTTCTATCCGCAATGTTCACCATGACTGTGTTTATCCGAACGCGGATGGGCATAGATATCATTCATGGAAATTCTTACATGAGTTGCCTCTTTTTTGCAATCATTACAATTATGGTTAATGGTTTTCCAGAGCTGTCAATGACTGTTCAACGCCTTGCTGTATTCTACAAGCAGAAGCAACTATCTTTCTATCCAGCTTGGGCATATGCAATCCCTGCAACAGTGTTAAAGATTCCTCTTTCGTTCTTTGAATCTCTTGTTTGGACCAGCCTCACTTACTATGTCATCGGATTCACTCCTGAAGCCTACCGGTGAGAACTCTAAACCATCTCTTGCTTGCTCGCGCTATTCACATCCAAGAAATGTCAGATAAATGTAAAGTAAACTAATGAGCTTTGATGTTTCAGGTTCTTCCGGCAATTCATTCTGCTCTTTGCTGTTCACTTCACATCGATATCCATGTTCCGGTGTATAGCTGCAATCTTTCAGACAGGAGCTGCTTCAATGGCAGCTGGTGGTTTTTCCATAATAGTCACTTTTGTATTTGCCGGTTTCGCCATCCCATATCGTAAGATTTTTGCGCTCTCTTCTTTTCAGTCTGGTTCTAAAGTTCCATCACAAAATATGACATTGGTTTGTTGCAGCCGAAATGCCAGGGTGGCTGAAGTGGGGTTTCTGGATAAATCCTATAAGTTACGCCGAGATTGGGCTCTCTGTAAACGAGTTTCTTGCTCCGCGGTGGCAACAAGTGATTCTCTCTTCCCTTGCTTGTTTCTCATAATCATCCAAATTCTCTTCATCCTCCAAGACTAATCAGTTTTCCGGATATATCTGTAGATGCAACCGACGAATATCACCTTGGGTCAAACCATACTCGAAAGCCGAGGACTGAACTACGATGATTACATGTACTGGGTCTCATTATCTGCCTTATTGAGTATATCTGTTATCTTCAACATCATTTTCACTCTAGCTCTCAGTTTCTTTAAATGTAAGTTCAAAAATATCGAAACAAATGCCACGGACAAGAACACAAACTGACGACCTTCTCTTAACTACATGACAGCTCCCACATCATCTCCTTCCATGATCTCTCAAGACAAGCTCTCTGAGCTTCAAGGAACAAAATCAGATTCATCACTCAAGCAGAACAAGTCAATAGCAAAGCCGAACGAGGAGGATTCAGGTGAAAACATGTTGTGTCTTTCTACTCAACACATAGAAACAAACTCTTTCTTCTCCGTTTTCCCTCAACTTAACTCGTTCGACGGATCAAAACAGGGAATATGATCTTACCTTTTAAGCCACTCACCATAACATTTCAAGACTTGAATTATTCCGTCGACGTCCCTGCGGTAAAAGCTTCATTTCCAACTGCAATGACCATCAAAAAAGGAATATATACAAATCCATGGATCTTTTTTTTTGCTAATCTCAGGAGATGAGAGGTCAAGGATACACTGAGAAGAAGTTGCAGCTTCTCTCAGACATCACCGGAGCTTTCAGGCCAGGCGTTTTAACGGCGTTGATGGGAATCAGCGGTGCCGGAAAAACAACTCTACTCGACGTTCTCGCCGGAAGAAAAACAAGCGGATACATCGAAGGAGACATCAGAATCAGTGGATTCCCTAAAATCCAAAAAACATTCGCAAGAGTCTCAGGTTACTGTGAACAAACAGATATACACTCACCGAACATCACCGTCGAAGAATCCCTAATTTACTCCGCTTGGCTTCGTCTAGTTCCAGAAATCAATCCCAAAACCAAAATCGTAAATCCCCTTTCACAATCTGACATAGAAATCGAAAACCAACAAAAAAAAAGGTGACGAAATCGTTTCAATTTCCGTGCAGAGATTCGTGAAGCAAGTTCTGGAAACGATCGAATTAGAGGAGATCAAAGACGCGATGGTGGGAATCGCCGGAGTTAGCGGATTATCGACGGAGCAGAGGAAACGATTGACTGTAGCGGTGGAGTTAGTAGCGAATCCGTCGATTATCTTCATGGATGAACCAACGACTGGTCTAGACGCAAGAGCAGCCGCCATTGTTATGAGAGCTGTGAAGAACGTTGCAGAGACTGGACGAACCATTGTTTGCACTATTCATCAACCTAGCATCGACATTTTCGAATCCTTCGACGAGGTAATACAATTTATAAGG